AAATGGTTTCCAATTTCGAAATCCCTATGGAGGCCCAAAGCTAAAATTGTTGGTACTCATGCGTAGAGCTCATCGTGCTCTCCGTTTTGCCTCAAATGGTACTTAAAAATTCCGAGTAGAGAGAGAGGAATCAAAGTTCAAAGCTTGACACAAACTAGAAAAGAAAAAGCAAGGAACAAGAGAAAAAGAGGGAAACTTACGGGAGAGAGAGGTAAGAGACCAAAAATGTGGTCTCTAGAAAATGAATGGGATAGTGGTGCGTCCCGCCACCATTTTTATTTTTCTTTTTTCTCTTTGCTTAATTTACACCACATGAATACATGTAACACACCATCATACAAATGATACGTAGCTCACATAATTCAAAATGTAGGAAACGCAAATGGACTTAACTAAAATACCGAACGGAAAACGTGAAAAGACAAAAATACCCTCACGGCAATGAAATTTCTGAAAAATTGAAAAATGCTGAAAATCAAAAACATCACACAAACCGTATTAAAACAAGATACACGAAATACAAACATATATATTCAAGTACTTTAAATCAAGTTAAAAAAGAAAAGCAATATCCGACATATGTACACAAGTATTCGATATACATATAGAGTACTCATAAATCAAGTATACAAGCATGAGTATACTAAGCTAAACAATTACACACAAGACAAGTATACATGGTACAAGTATACTAAGATAAACAAATACACACAAGACAAGTATACATGGCACAAGTATACTAAAACGAAATATGGGGCAATTATAAAGGTTTAAGTATACTAAATAGGATTCAAATACCCAAAGTAAGCATCAATTCTTAAGCTACAAGTAATCCATGACTAACAACTTGAAATTAAATGCGAAATCAAATAGTGGAAAGACTAGGATCCTTGGCTGCAGACCAATCGAGTTATTCCGGGTTACTAGCCCGCAAGGTAGTACCTAATGCGCATGTGTATAAGTTATTCCGGGTAATTACGACCCACAAGGTACTACGTACTGCGCACTTCATATGACTTAGGAAACTCACGAATCCATACTAGGGCGAAACCCTAGCCATCACATGAACATGATCTTGACAAGCCTCTAAAAATAATAAGTTCAAAACTTATGCAAAATCAATAAGTTAAACCAAACTTATACATCTCAAATAATGTCTAGGAATGAATTTACATGCATATGCAAGGTTGAATCCATACAAACCATGTCCTAGAGTTCAAGTCTACAATGACATTCACAATGTTGAATCTTCAGTGTGTGATTCGTTACACGCTATGACAATTTCATTTCAATATTAAATGCAATCTCATCCAAACGATCCCTAATTCAAATTTGTTAAACAACATGGTATGGTCACTACACAAACCAACTCAAAAACTAATTTGGATCATTGAGATAGCAAAATAGAGTTTAATTGAAACATGGTAATTAAATCTCTAAATTTTCTAAAATAACCCCAAATGGCCCCAAATGGATATATATACAAGTGAATAAGCCCAAGTCACTACCATTATCAAGTTAAAACTCAATCAAACTAGTGAAACCATTAATTAGATTTTTAATTAATTCGTTTAATTCAAAATCTCTAGATTTCTAAACTTATCCAAATGCTTTCAATTTAACATAGGTTAGAGAACATGCCAAGGCCTATTTTAATCTCACATTACAAGTTGATTTAATACTTGTTTCAACTATGTGAATTAAACTTTCATAAAAGATAAATATTAAATACGTTTGGCAATTCTTATTCAAATGCTCCAAATTTAATATATGTTACTCAATATATCAAGGCTTAATTTCTTAGCATACCACAATTCAATTCTAAGCCACATACATCCATTAGAATTAAATCATATACCAGAAAATAATTAAATTAAATTCTACGATTTATACAAAGCGTGCATACAAGTTGTATAAGTTCATAAACTAATCAATACAACACATATATAATCCTAATACATCCCCTGCCTCAATTTGAGATAAAAATCTCAAAAGCCACAAAAATGAAACTGCTCCGAATCCGACGAAACTCCTAGGTTTTGTCGGGGACAACACGATCTACATGAACCCCCAAGAAGCCCCATCAAAATCACAACTTAACTTCAAACCCGAACTCAAGAAATGGTCAAAAATGAATTCTAATAAGGGGGAAAGGTAGAGCATGTCGAGGAGAAAGATAAACGTTAAGGCCGAAGAGTTTTCACTAAGGAAATCAAGTGGAGGAGAAGAAAGAATGAAGGCAGGCCCTTGGGCTGCCATGGCTGCCGGCCAAGAGGGTGAAGAAGATGATAGAAATCTGACTTTTTGACTTAAGACCCCCTATTTATAGAAAATCTCAAAAAGTGCCCCGAAAAGGTCATGCCATGTCCGGAAAAGTGGATTTTGAGCAAACGCGCTCAAATGACAAAACTCTGTGAATGAAAAAGATTCTAAATGAGAAAATATGAACAACGGACTAAACGGCATCAAAAACCGAGTCTTGAGCAAAGAGATATGCCCAAACAAGTTCGGCAGCAACCGGGTCTAAAAACCTTGAAACTAGAGAAAAATGACTAGATGGAAATTCTATGAGTACACGACTCGATGAAATGTGAAAATGAATCTCGTACGAAGATCCAAGCTCAGAACAAGGCATTTAGGAATAACTTCCATTAATTGCACAATGGTTCCTCCAAAAAGTGAAAACTGCACAACTGCCCAGAATGAAAATATCGTCCAAAAATATTTTCTTAAAAACCCCTGAAATAAAATATCTTCAAAAGATATTTAAAAAAAACACCCCAAAAAAAGAAAACGATTCTGAAAAACTGTGCATCCATGCCCCTATGGACACTGGGAGTAACCAGAATACCTTTCTACAAAAGTAAAAATACGTATTTCGCGGAAACCACTTAGGATGAAGATACGTGAAGTTAAAAACCAACTCTGAACACAAAGAGTGGGTTATGCCAACCAATTGACAAATGAGGAAAAGACAAAATAGGGAAAATGACAAAACAGGGAAAATGACGAAAAGTGAATAGTGTCAAAAAACAAAAAATATGGAAATGACTCGGTCCTCAAAAGAAATTGTCAATCCAAAGAAAAGAGTCTCAGAAACTATTTCTGAGCACTCGAGACGACACTAAGTGATGAGAAATTGAACTCAGAAAGGAAATTTCAATGAAAAAAATTCATCCGTAAAATTCTGAGGAAAAAGGAAGGGAAGAAAATGACCGGGTCATTAGAACCTACCCTCCTTAAAGAGATTTCATCCCCGAAATCAAGAACATTCCCAGAAGGACCGTACATAAGCTTACACCAAGGAATAGATCATAAAGTGCCCAAGGACAACTCCAAAGGTCTCAAGATCAACGAAAGGACTTGAAACTACAAACCGTGAGACACCTCTCCAACAAATTGACATACTAACCCAATGTCAACCACCCAAAGGAGATCAAGGCAACTACATAACTAAATAAGGAACACAACCAAATGCAACATGGCAGTACAAATACTGACTAGAACCTTCCACAACGTACCTAAGGTGCGGTTGCATCCACAGTGTCAAGTGCTCGCCCACACTGAGAAGCAAAATGGCCTCAAGAGATATACGTCATCCCTAAGGCACCAAAGTGACTCCCTATGAAGCACAGAACTCAGTTGAGCCAACAAATGAAGCAAGAATGCCAACCAGAAAAGAAATGAACCAAGGGCAAAATGGTCATTCCAAACTAAAATGGTTGCCACCATACACACCATTGGTAAGACAACAAAATAAAAGAAGTTGGACTCAAGAATCGCCTGATTCTGAGTTGGGATGGAAAAGATATGAATTTAGAACAAAGTGGCTTTTCCCGTTTAAGACATACCATGACACTATCTTACTAGAACTAGAATAACTCTCACTACAAGTGGAGTTTTGATGAATGGTTTGTATTGGAAAGCTAACTTCAAGCTCCTGAACTTAGACTCAAGAATGAACCGATTTGAACAAGAAATGAATGAGATATGGCCTTCCAAAGTTGAAATAACAATGTTGTCCAAGAGAAGCTGAAAAGGGGTGGTTCTAGGGAGAATTTGCAGACCGAAATTCAACAATCAGCCGGCCGAAACTCAACCGTCGGTTAGCCGAACCCCCATGGTCAGCCAACCAAAACGCTTAAAATCTAAAAAAGGCTACTGGAATGGTCTCGAGGGATTCGTCAGCCGACCGATGAAGTTCCATCAGCTGACCGACACACATGCTGCTGCTATGAAAAGCTGCTGCAATGAGTGAAAATGGTGCTTGGTCCATCTCCAAGGTTCTACATGCTTTCTACATGATCCAAACACATTTCAAAACACTTTCTAAGCCCGTTCAAACATCTAAAACAAGCTAAAACAAGGAGAAGCTCAAATTACACTCTCATGCATGAATTTTCATGAAAATTTATGAAAATTGCCTAAAAATAGGTTAAAGTTAAAACTCAAGAGTTTTATGCAATGTGGACATGCACACAAATGTGAAAAGATATTTATGACACGTCCCAATGGTCCGCGGCCTCAAAATGACCCCAATGCAAAATATAACCTCTCTATGGCCAAAAATGCCTAAAAATGCAATGAATGGAACTAAAATGAAAAACCTATAATGAAATGGTGTTTGGCCCTTGGCCACACCTCATACATGATCATAGAAGCCTTATGAAAGAAACAGAATGAAATTCCCACACCCGATGCAAAAGTTATGAAACAATGACTTCACATTTCTCAATATTTTCATAATAAACCTTGAAAACAAAAGTGCATGGTATACAAGATACATGTCATTGGCCTTCGGCCTCATCTTATACATGTCAAATACATTAAAACGAGTGTACTTATGTACACTTTACATATACGAATCAAAGAATACAAATTTAGACAAATAAGACTAAAAAATGGCATTTCATGCCAACTTTTACAAGAATTGAAACCTTCAAGGCTACAAATCATCCAAGCAATATGAGAATCTCGAACCTTGATTCCTGTACCTGAAAAATATCCCCACTACGCGGGTGAGTAACATAAAGCTACTCGTAGGAGATGAGCATGCATGGACCTAGCATTTTACAATTACATCACCTTAAGTTGAAACATATTAACGGGGCTCATGCCACCTAACGTCTATGTCAAAGTGAGACTTAGGGATCATCCTAAGCTACTCATGCAATTAAAATGAACAACAACATATAATATACATGCTCACAAGTACACTAAACTATAACGACCCAAATCCTTATGGATCCAGATCATTAAACGGGTCCTTACCCGACCCAGAATCGTCCAATGGTAATACGGTTCTTTCATGTTAAATTCAATTATCTTGGTCCAAAAAGGGCAATATGGTAATTTGCTACAATTCAAGTAGTTTGAGATTCAAAGGGTATAATAGTCATTACTTGTTTCACGTAATAAAATAAGGTTCGGGACAATATAGTCTTTTCGGTGGTAAAAATATAATTAATGCATTTTATTGGGTCATAAAATAATTATTCGCAACATTAATTTGGTGCTAGAGAGTAATTAGGAAAGCTAAATAAAAAAAATTATACGTAGAACAAGAACCGGTCGACGTATATACGCTTTACGTCAGCTGGTTTGGGTTATGAACAGAGGACAAACCCACTGCCGAGATACCGGTTGATGTGTGGGAAGTTACACGTCGACTGGTTTGGAACGTGCACAGTGAAAAACTTACTGTCAGGATACCGGTCGACGTGTGGCAAGCTATATTTCGACTGGTTCACACAACTCGATCGACGTATGGAATTTTACGTCAACTGGTTTGGGTCATCCTCACTCACACTCACCGACTTCCACCAACTTTGAAAGCCAATCACCCACACCACTACACTCACGTACATACGTAAATACATTTCAACATCCACAATAACAACAACTACAATGTTAACATAATTTACCACACGTTACCAAAATACACTAAAGGATTAAATGATGGTAAAACTTAATTACATTACCCCACCGGCCATGTACATGCTAAAATCCAAATATTTTACATGTTGCAAAAGTAATACATCCTAAGTCAACATCTTTACAAAATAAGTTCAAGCTCTACAAAAATACATCCAAAATACTTCCTTAGTGCTCTCAAGCATGAGGTGGATTATCATCCGCCAACCCCTTGCCGTAACCTGAAAAAATTTAAATATGGTGGGGTGAGCAATTTGCTCAGTAATTGGTGCCTAAGACGCACCTCTTGAGTCCCCGTGAATCCAAAACAAAGAATGGAACCATGGAAATCGGGGTCATACAATGTCGGGAAATTACAACGTGGTTTTAAATCTCAACATAATAATATGATGCAATAGGGATGCAATGCATGCCGATGTCGCTCCCTATTTTTCACATTTAAAATCATCACTTTCAAACTGTTAATATAACTCGCCCTTTGGTGACCCCGCAGCGACACGAGAGAAGGATTGGCTAGTGTCCCTGACCCTTGGTACCCCCGCGGCGTCATTATGGGGCCTAGCTAGCTCAATCACGCTATGGCGACTCCCTAGTTCCCTCTAGGCTATATTAACACTCCGGCCCTTTAGTACCCCCACGGCGACTGGGTTTTCTCAAAACCGATTCAAAACAAGTTTCTCTCGAAAATCCCCTTTTTACTTTATCCAAAACATTACCCATCATGAAACCCAATGAATTACATGCAGATCTCATACTTTTAATGCTTTAACAATAAGGGATTTTCAGATAACAAAATGAAGTATGCTTTCATCTATCATTCATAGCATATAAACAACATAATAAGCATAGAAATTTATCATAAAAGCCTGTTTTCCACATAATACATTTAATACATGTCCTCACATAACCACATATACACAATTAAATTATTTTAAACTACAATTAGCACAAATAAGCATGTTAAGACACAATTCAAATAATTTAACTCACAAAAGTGCAAGAATATGCGGATTAGGAAGCCCCTACCTCAAGTTTGTGCAAAACCCTCAAAATGGTTTCCAAATTTCGAAATCCCTATGGAGGCCCAAAGCTGAAATTGTTAGTACTCACGCATAGAGCTCGTCGTGCTCTCCGTTTTGATTCAAACGGCACTTAAAAATTCCAAGTAGAGAGAGAGGAATCAAAGATCAAAGCTTGACACAAAATAGAGAAGAAAAAGCAAGGAACAAGAGAAAGAGTGGGAAACTTATGGGAGAGAGAGGTAAGAGACCAAAAATGTGGTCTTTAGAAAATGAATGGGATAGTGGTGGGTCCCGCCACCACTTTTATTTTTCTCTTTTTCTCTTTGCTTAATTTACACCATAAGAATACATGTAACACACCATCATAGAAATGATACATAGCTCACATAATTCAAAATGTAGGAAACGCAAATGGACTCAGCTAAAATCGCGTACGAAAAACGTGAAAAGACAAAAATGCCCTCACGGCGATGAAATTTTTAGAAAATTGAAAAATGCTGAAAATCAGAAACATTGCATCAATCGTATTAGAACATGATACACGACGTACAAGCATATATGTTCAAGTACTCTAAATCATCTTAAACAAGAAAAGCAATATCCGACATATGTACACAAGTATTCGATATACATATAGAGTACTCATAAATCAAGTATACAAACATGAGTATACTAAGCTAAACAATTACGCACAAGACAAGTATACATGGTACAAGTATACTAAGATAAACAAATACGCACAAGACAAGAATACATGGCACAAGTATACTAAAATGAAACATGGGGCAATTATACAGGTTCAAGTATACTAAATAGGATTCAAATACCCAAAGTAAGCATCAATTCTCAAGCTATAAGTAATCCATGTTTAACAACTTGAAATTAAATGCGAAATCAAATAGTGGAGAGACTAGGATCCTTGGTTGCAGACCAATCGAGTTATTTCGGGTTACTAGCCCGCAATGTAGTACCTAGTGCGCACGTGTATAAGTTATTTCGGGTAATTACGACCCACAAGGTACTACCTACTGCGTACTTCTTATGACTTAGGAAACTCACGAATCCATACTAGGGCCAAACCCTAGCCATCTAATGAACATGATCCTTACAAGCCTCCAAAAACAATAAGTTCAAAACTTATGCAAAATCAATAAGTTAAACCAAACTTATAGATCTCAAATAATGTCTAAGAATGAATTTACATGCACATGTAAGGTTGAATCCACATAAACCATGTCCTAGAGTTCAAGTCTACGATGGCATCCACAATGTCGAATCTTCAGTGGGCGACTCGTTACACGCTATGACAATTTCATTTCAATATTAAATGCAATCTCATCCAAACGATCCCTAATTCAAATAGGTTAAACAACATGGTATGGTCACTACACAAACGAACTCAAAAACTAATTTGCATCATTTAGACAACAAAATAGAGTTTAATTAAAACATGGTAATTAAATCTCTAGATTTTCTAAAACAACCCAAATGGCCTCAAATGGATATATATACAAGTGAACAAGCCCAAGTCACTACCATTATCAAGTTAAAACTTAATCAAACTAGTGGAACCATTAATTTGATTTTTAATTAATTCGTTGACTTCAAAATCTATAGATTTCTAAACTTATCCAAATGCTCTCAATTTAACATAGGTTAGAGAACATGCCAAGGCCTATTTTAATCTCATATTACAGGTTGATTTCATGCTTGTTTCAACTTTGTGAATTAAACTTTCATAAAAGATAAATATTAAATAAGTTTTGCAATTCTTATTCAAATGCTCCAAATTTAATATATGTTACTCAATATATCAAGGGTCTAGCATGCCACAATTCAATTCTAAGGCACATACATCCATTAGAATTAAATTCTATACAAGAAAATAATTAAATTAAATTCTAGGATTTATACAAGCATGCATACAAGTTGTATAAGTTCATAAAACAATCAATACAACACATATATAATCCTAATACACCCCCTACCTTAATTTGAGATGAAAATCTCAAAAGCCACCAAAATGAAACCGCTCCGAATCCGACGAAACTCCTAGGTTTTGTCGGGGACAACACGATCTACATGAACCCCCAAGAAGCCCCATCAAAATCACAACTTGACTTCAAACCTAAACTTAAGAAACGGTCAGAAATGAATTCTAATAAAGGAGAAAGGTAGAGCACGTCGAGGAGAACGATAAACATTAAGGCCGAAGAGTTTTCACTAAGGAAATCAAGTAGAGGAGAAGAAAGAATGAAGGCAGCCCCTTGGGCTCCCATGGCTGCCGGCCAAGAGGGTGATGAAGATGATAGAAATTTGACTTTTTGACTTAAGACCACCTATTTATAGAAAATCTCAAAAAGTGCCCCAAAAGGGTCCCGCCGGGTCCGGAAAAGTGGATTTTGAGCAAACGCGCTCAAATGACAAAACTCTGTGAACGAAAAAGATTCTAAATGAGAAAATATGAATAATGGACGAAACAGCGTCGAAAATTGAGTCCCGAGTAGAGAGATATGCCCAAACAAGTTCGGCGGCAACCGGGTCCAAAAACCTTGAAACTGGAGAAAAATGACCAGAAGGAAATTCTATGAGTACACGACTCAACGAAATGTGAAAATGAATCCCATACGAGGATCCCAGCTTAAAACAAGGCATTTAGCAATAACTTTCATTAATTGCACAATGACCCCTCCAAAAAGTGAAAACTATACACAATTGCCCCAGAATGAAAATATCTTCCATAAATATTTTCTTAAAAACCCCTGAAATAAAATATCTTTAAAAGATATTTATGAAAAATACCCTAATAAGAGAAAAAGATTCTGAAAAACTGTGCATCCATACCCCTATGGACACCGGGAGCAAATAGAGTACTTTTCTACAAAAGTAAAGATACGTATTTCGTGGAAACCACTTAGGATGAAGATACGTGAAGTCAAAAACCAACTCCGAATACAAAGAGTGAGGTTATGCCAACCAATTGACAAACGAGGAAAAGATAAAATAGGAAAAATAACAAAACAGGGAAAATGATGAAAAGTGAATAGTGTCGAAAAACGAAAAATATGGAAATGACTCGGTCCTCAAAGGAAGTTGTCAATCCAAATAAAAGAGTCTCAGAAACCATTTCCGAGCACTCAAGATGACACTAAGCAAGGAGAAACTGAACTCAGAAGGGAAATTTCAACGAAAAAAATTCATCCGTAAAATTCTAAGGAAAAAGAAAAGGAAAAAAATAACCGGGTCATTACAGTGAATGCCGCTGGCGCATTAATTAAGCCAAAAAGCATAACAAAGAACTCATAATGTCCATATCGTGTACGAAACGCTGTCTTCGGGATATCCTCACTGCAAGAAATTCGAGTTTTAGGGACAGTCGAAACTGTCCCTAAAAGCTCGAAATCTGTCCCTAAAAGTCAAATTGGTCCGTGACTAAAAGTAGCATGCCAAAAGAGCTTTAGGGACAGTCAAAATTGACTGTGACAAATACTTTTATCTTTTAGGGATGGTCAAACTGTCCCAAATAACATCGTCTCTAAAAATTTTTAGGGACGGTATAGATTGTCCCCAATACCTATACTATTAGGGATAGTTTTGGTGACTGTCCCCAATATCTATTGTATTCGGGACGGATAGACCTTCCCTAATACATTATTTTTAAATTATAATTATTGTATTAGGGACGGATGGACTGTCCCTAATAAATTTATTATTACTATTATTATTATTGTATTAGGGACGGATAGACTGTCCCTAATACATGATCTTTTTAATTATAATTATTGTATTAGGGATGAGTAGACTATCCCTAATACATTAATACATATATATATATATATATATATATATATATATATATATATATATATATATATATATATATATTGTATGCTTGATTTGTGGATTTAACCATTCTGGATACATGCAAGACATAAAACAAAATAAACCCACAATATATATATATTCAAGATCCATAAAATCACCAGTTTTCTAAATAAAAACTAAATCCATGTCCGAATCCACGGCAATATACCTTCCTTATGCATAGTTGGTTTTACACTATCTCAACATCATTTATGGTTGGACTCGTATCATCTGAATTTTGAGAATTTTGTGCAGCCTTTTCTTTCATTGCATCCTGCAAAATATTTAAGTTCGCTATCAAATTGAAAGAATATGGCATAGGAATAAATCACGTGCAAGCTAGAATATTAATCTTAATAGAAAGAAAAAAAAAATGCTTATTGAAATGCTTATTTTCAAAATGGAATGATGAGTTTGGACACTGCAATGACAAATGACAACTGATATTAATTGTAAGCACTTGTTAATTGAAAGCAATCTACTTTAAGGAAACATTTTGAATACTTTACACATATTCAAGATCTGATATTAGAAACTAGAAACAAAAATGTCCTAATCTCAACATTTCATCATTCTCCCCTTTTAAAGAAATTCATAATACAAACCAGACCTTTAAATTTATAAAATATCTCACTTGCACAACAAAAAGTTTAACACAGCTTCTTTCTACAAATAGGTGGGTTTGCAAACTCACCCTCTCTGCATTATAAATCTTAAATGATGTAAATATACAACAAATCCTTATATATAGTAATAACATGAACTAAACAAATGAACATATAATAGAGCTATTAGATGCCAATAAATGATATCAACAGGTATTATTTAAAGAAACTTCCGCAACCAATTTGGGTTTCGTAGAAAAAACAAAGTTATTATTTCGCATATTCAAAGGTAGGAATTCTAATTTATGGGGCTGTAATAGAATGATATTAGATGGGTATTTCATAATTTTGAGATATTGAAATATTCTGAAATTTAGTGAAGGACAAAAAAGTAGATTATCCCCCTTATAACACTAATAAGTACTAGTAAATGTGAAATTTAATGAAACACCTACCCAGAGATACTCAATAGATATGAAATTTAGTGAACAAAGTTTGCTCCTCGCAAACCTAACTTATAGTGACTTAAAGCAAATGGGTATTAAAAGTTAATATATATACATATGTATATATACATATATGATCTTTTGTATTGTGAAGGAGCTGAAAGGATGGAAAGAGTAAATAGGGATGAAGAAACATATAAAATGTTGAGCACACTTGGGTCAAGGCCACCAAACTGTGAGCACAAGTGTGTAAATTGTGTACCTTTTTGTTAGTTATTGAATTTTCAAATAATTTGGTACTACCTAATTAGGATCAATACGTTGAATGTATTTGAAGGCCAAGTGATTGTTTAGGTATCAATCATGTTAACTAGGATGCACTTTGACAGCTTGGAATCACAAAACCATATCCGACCCATGCATTATTTCATCCTGCAATTGACATATAAGTCTTATAATTGAGAATTGAGATACAAATTAAAGAGAAAAAGACTTGTACCAGAAAATAGTAAAGGCTAAACTGATCACATTAAGAAAAAGATATTTTAATGAGTTTGAGGGGAAGTATCTTAATAAAACAATGCTCAAACTTAGTTTTTTTAATGAATTTTTGTCGCGAGTTTACAAATTCTCTCCGTGTCTCTTTCTCCCTCTTTGTTTTTGTTATTCTCAGTCTCTCTAGCCTATCTCTTTCAATCTAACTTTTCACTCCCCTGACCTTCTAGCCTGACCTCATCTTCTTATTCACATCCCCTTCTTTCATTCTAGTTCTATATCAGTTTGGTATAACCACACTTTCTGTCCTACATCACAAACCCATTAGCATTTGTTTACCGCAATTTTTATTTCAAATAGTATATATGTTATTCCTATCACTATTTATTCTTTCAATTAATTTAAATCTTATTTCTTGTTTAGAACTAGTTTTATGATAAAATTACAAGTTACTACAAGAGACTTATTTGAAACAAGTTAATCCTAGATGTGATGCAACTGTGTACAATTCAAAAACAACATAATAAATAAAGTCCCACTAGAATAACAAGGCTATGAATATAGGTATCAAATTATACCATCTCATGGAATAATTTTTTTGAAAATAAAGGCCAACTAAAATTGGATCTTTAGTTAAACCTGGTCCTGCTACATTTTAGTTCGGGAAAGTATCCATTAAATATATTTTTTATTTTCTATCCAGCTTTTCTTCCTCAGATAAGGGGAGAAAGAGGAAGAAACTCAAGAATATAAAGGAAGAATTATCAATTATCTGATCTTGATGTTCAGGGGCTGTCTATGCTTCTAGATTACGGGTATAACTGAAAGTTAAATTGAGATTCTCATTGGGAAGTCCACACCTCCATTGATTATGTGAAGTAATGGGTATTATGGATAAACATCAAACATGAAACTTGCACCATGTTGGCGTGCTTTCTTAATAAAATGAATTTGAAGGAATTATATATAGAAAAATGTTGTTCTCAAGAGTTTTTCTAAGCCATATCCATATTCCTCCCACCACTTGTATAATAGTGAAGGAACATAAATAACATTTTAAACTATGGAAATAATGCCTATTTTATGTACATTATCCAATTATTAGTCATTTCTTGGATTTTCCCTTTTTATTTACTATTTCTGGTTGATTGAAGATTTGGTAACCAATTATCTCTATAGTTAATACAATGTGCAAATATCTAAAAGGAAATAGTAGGGTTAAAGAATTCAATAATTACTGGTTTTTTTAAAAAAAAAGCTCTCTCGTATTACAAAGAATTAGCTCAACCATTACACTAGATATTATTACTGCTGCTAGTGTACGAATATTATATACATTACACTTATTAATGCTCATTTTAGGGTATCAGTCATATATCACCTGACAATGAACTCCAAAATTTTTGCCTCACAAAAGGGTGAAAAAAAAAAAAGTAAAAAAATGAAACATTATTCCTAAATGGTCCATTGATGCAGGTTTTGTCTAAAAAGGTAAAAGCAAATCAATACTTTTTAAATAAAAAATATAAAAAAATATCTCATATAGCACAACAATAAAAAAAAATATAACATCTTGGAGCAAAAAAAAAAAAAAAAAAAAACCAGCACCACCATACATCTGGAAAATAAATAGCAGAAGATAGGGCGGATCAAAGAACCATGGCACATACCAAGAACAGATGCCAACAGAAGCAGAACAACAGAACCAATCTGATACGAAGACACCCATTCCACATGAACCAAAATAATGACCCTGCAAGTGGAATGAGCCAAATCCCTTGTTTCATCAGGAAAAAAAATTAAATTAAACTATATAAAAATGAGACCTGTAATTATATCACAGAAATACATAATGGGACTAAAGTGGTTATGTATCAAAATCTTTTAAATCCTTCTAACCATTAATTTCAGTAACAAAACATATAAGGATCTTTCAATTATAAACTAGTTTTGTTACAAGATCCATATCTGTTAACTGGAAATGTCAGGACATAATAAAGGCCATTTAACCATCTCAGTCACACTTTTTTTAGCATGCTCCAGACCAGCTAGAGAATGGACAGGCAAAAAAAAAAAAAAAAAAATGATTAAAACAAAATGTCCAAATACATAAACTTACTACGAAGGAGGGGGACTTTGTAATCCCTTTTGTTTTTGGTTGTTAAATACTCAAAGCCATCTTCTAGAAATATTAAAAATAATTAAAAAAAATCACCTGTCACTGTCTAATTTGACTATTCTTGATTTGAGGTGAGGGGAAACATGTTCACAAAACTTTACAAACTTATTTCAAATCCAAAATTATAAAACAAATCTTGTGAAGGTTCATGACAGCGTTCTTTTGTAATATCAAGTTAGAAAACTGAATATTATTTAGGCATCTAACTATTTCTGCAAGCAAAATAATTTTTCCAAAAAAAAAGAAAAAAAAAAATGAGGTAGATATTTCATTCATCTCAGTTTTTTTGATTAGTCATGATAATTAGATCATACTGGAAATTTTATTAATGGTAATCAATCTCCACACAACATAATCCGATGACAGTGGAAGATTAGTATCCCTTGGGTATATTTCTATGTTTGATGATTGTAATGTATTGAAAAATAAAAAAATAAAAAAATAAATGTGGAAATGGTTTTAAGAAGTAGATAATATACCAATTTTGCTCGGGCAGTTTGTAATATGGTTTATACTTGTACATAATTAAGAGAATTCATGCTAGTAAGATTGCAAATAGGACCAGTCAGTTTATTATTGGACAAGTACCTGAAAGTGGATAATTAAAAGGCTCTATTGGTAAACAAAAAAAAGAAAATGCATTCCTAAAAAACAAGTATAGAGGCTTAAGTTGATGAGTTTTTTCTTGTCTACTTACAGCTCACTGAAATGCTAGAGGTTGTTAAAGACTCAAGTATGCAAAAATGTAGGAACAGCAACACCTTAAAGACTCAAATGTATAAATCTTGTAACTGTACAATTCAATGAAACTTACAAGTGCATTAGCTCCATGTTTAAGCTAAAAAGCTGGGAAGGGGTTTCACCAGAAAGCTGATTTATTCCAAAATGACTGTAAATAAAAGATGAAGCTTAGGTAAGAAAAACAAATTAAAGTAAGAAAAAAAAAAAAAAAAAAAAAAAAGAAAGAAAGAAAGAAAGAAAGAAAAAAGATGATGATGAAGTAAGTTGGACCCATTAAATTCGAATTTCACACAATTATAATTCCAAACTAAAATTTATTTTGTGCAGCCAAAAACCCCTTAATAGACTTCAAAGGCCAAAAGTATTTCACCCAGTTCTTGTAAGTGTTATAAATCTGTCCAAATCAGTTTATATTCTAGCAATTGTCCATGAAACAAACGAACTAGAAAAACAGCAACTTTTGTAGTGTAGACTTCTCAAGAAAGTTGAAACCAAATCTAGTCAAAGAAGCATTCACTACAAACAACACAATATATATATTGTTTATGATTTCTACCCACTAGAAAACAACTGCTTCACCCACAAAATAGAAAATATGAAAAAGAAAAAAAATACAGGAACTGAACAATTTGGTTCCTTGTGCTTGAAATTTGCAGAATATATATATATATATATATATATATATATATATATATATTATAACATTATCTTTCCTTGCAGTGTTTAGTATTCTGAAAGCTGCCATCATTTTAGCTCATTCTACACTCATGGAATTTAGAAGTTCACGTCTTAAGCTGGGCCCATTAACGGGCACAGGTCGGCCTAAAGCTTGGTCGGATCAGCAACTATGTTTAGATCAACAACAATAATTAGATACACATTATTAGTCTAAACTCATTAACAGTCAGTGAACACATTAATGATTTATCAATTCAAATTTCTCTCTACTACTGAAATTAACATTTCAAAGATGCTGACAATCCTATCACTAGATTTAGAAAAAGACTTATATATCTGTAAAAGTTTTATCTACTACTACAAAATCAGACTTCCAACACCAGCAAAAAAAAAAAAAAAAAAGGCAAGACAGAGAAGAGAGGATTTAAAGTAAGTGTTACAGATATCCATGCTTGCTTGGCATTCATTTTGAGTGGCCAAGAGCAGTAGAAAGTTGAAGGTTTAGCTTATATATGGGTGTCGACATCTCCGGTCAAGAACAACAAACCAACCCACAACAGTTGAAAACTGATTTTGAAGTCTGGGATGCTATTTAGATTTCATATGTTAATCTAATATATATATAAATAAATAATAAACATGCGTTAAAATGAAAAATAAATGTCTAGAATTATTCTACAAAATATCCTCAATATTATCCTACAAAATATCGCATTTACACATATCTCAAATTTCTCAGCTTCATATTCTATTGCTATCTTTCCAATCAAATACTGGTTCTTTCAATATTTATTATTGAAGTTACTCTTCGATCCTAAAGCTAAGAAACAAAGCAAAGTACTAGTAAAATGAAAAACAAGAACACTATATAAATATCTAGTACACAAATCCATTTCACTTTACATTCCATGGTGTTAATAGGAGGAGGCAGATAGTGTTGAAGATTAATGCAATCCCATTGTATTTGAGGAGTCAATTTTACATGTGTACACCAACTAATTAATTCATCAATGTCAAAAGAAGAACAAACATATTTATAAATACATAACTCAGAGTTTAATTTGATATATAAGATTACAAATTTAACTGAATCAGTGCATTCCGTGTCTCAAAAAGCTTACTTATTACATACACTAAACAATGAACATTGGGCTTTGCTATCCAGAAGACATACAGACTCTTATCAACTGGTTTAATTTGATTGCATTACTCTTTAAGCAACAAAATATTTAGTCGTTGCTAAAATCAAAAGAGATTATTGTGTTTCTTAAATTCCAATCAGATGGAAATAGTGGTTTTTATCTTCATTTGTAACCTGATTTATCATGGAAAAGAATTTAATATTTATGCTTTTAGTTGGTATGCTATATTAAAATTATATATACATTTGAAAATCAGGAGATAGAGCTACTATATCCATATGATCAATGAAAGACCTTTATACATAGTATTTAAGCCCGAGTCTTAGAAAATGGCTTAGGAAGAAACACAGGCTGCCATGGCTTTCAATTCATCACCTCCTTCAAAAACTTTCACAGAACAATCCTAAGCCCCATGTTGTACATCTACCACATCCAATCTTAGTTTCAAAATTTTCACCCCCTTAAAAACCTGGGGAACACCAGGGACTGACCCACAAAATTATGTGAGGGTGTAACTATTTACCATGAATTTAAACCCGAATTTATTTTACTACCCTGAACAATCTACATTACAAAACCAATCAAGCAAACAAGCAAGCATATACCAAATTATACAAGAAAGTTAATAACCCAGTAAGGCTAGCGCATCCTCTAGCTAAAGAAGTAGAAAATTAAACAAATAAAAGGCTTTAAGAAAACATTACACATGGAGTTTTATACATCCACTGAAAATTTTCAGAATCAATCATAACTTCCGACCAAGTATAGAGAGATTCATATTAGAAAAAAATGAAATGTTAAAATTTCATGTTTGCAAACTTGAATTCATACATTTACTACCATTAGCCATAAGCAACAAAGAATTGCTTCTATAAATGTGACTTTTTTTTCCTAAATTGAACACAATACAACAAACAAAATAGAAATAGAACCCAGAATTCAAATTCTGTCAAAGTGATTTCTCAGTGTAACAAGGACATAACGAGTTTTTTAACAAGCACATAACAAGTCAAACTCGTTATATCTCAAACCTGTATTTCCCACAGCGATTCAGACTCAGACCATAAGCTGACTCCAGATTTGTAATTTACCCCTTCGATTGTTAGGCCTTTTGCAATTTCGAAACCCTACAACATGTATTTGTATAAAAAAAAAAAACTATGGTGAGGATCATTAAACCAAATGGGTTATATGAATGTCAAATTTAAGATGAGGGTGCGCTCAAATCGAAGAAAGAGGCATAATCCCTAACATTGTAAAAAAATAAAAATGTTGTACCTCATGATTAAGAGTGGTTGTTGGAACGATTAGGTTATTCGGCCTTTACTGCTGGAAGAAGGTGAAAGAGTCTCTGTCTTCCGCGATGGTGGAAAAGGGTGGAAGAGCTAGCCTCTGTCTTTTGCGAGGGTGGAAGAGGCGTGACGGTAGAAGAGGTGTGAGGGTAGAAGAGGCGTGAGGGCTTAAGGCGGGTTGAGAACTGAAGTGGTCTAAAGATCAACTTTAGGTATGATATTATAATTTTGGATCTAATGATATATTAAACGATATACTTTGATGTATTTTGTAAAATAAAATGATTAAATATATTATAATTTTGATCGCGCCAAACAAGGAATGAAACACCAAGTTTTGTCGTATAATTTTTTGTGGAATTAGGGACGGGCTTTTTAAAGTTTTAGGTACAGGTGTAAAGACCGTGCCAAAAAAGAAGGCTTTAGGAACAGTTAAGAAGGCTTTAGGGATAGTTTTATAGATTGTGCCAAAAAATAAGGTTTTAGGGACAGTTTTGTAGACTGTACCTAAAAAAGAAGGTTTTAGGGACAGTTTTTAAGACTGTCCCTAAAGGACTATCACTAAAACCTAAATTTCTTGTAGTGCCTCATCCCTAACTCGTAACTGATAATAGCCTGACCTCAGGTCAATCTTCGAGAAATAACTGGCTCCCCTCAACTGGTCAAACAAATCATCTATCCTTGGCAAATGATACTTGTTCTTTATGGTGACATGATTCAACTTTCGGTAATTAATGCACAACCTTAAAGAACCATATTTCTTCTTAGCAAACAAGACCAGAAATAAACGTTTGAGTCTAATCAACTTCATTGCTCACCATCTATGGAGCAAAGCGAGAGAGTAAGGTGAATTTGTTCTCGTATTCTATCACTGACATATTGCGTTAGATAAGGCCATTAAACTGGTCCCTTAGTTCCCGCCTCTTGGTAATCGGGAAATACTTCTCGTAGAATAACTCCTTGAACATATCCCAACTCATCTCCTCAATCTTATGCCGATTTGTGACTGACTTCCACCAAAGCTTATCATCTTTAGAAAACTTGTAAGTGACTAGGATGATTCTCACATAATCATTCGTCACATCCATAGAAGTCAAATGGGTTTCTACTTGATCCATGTAGTCGTCCGCTACCATTGGATCTGCACCACCCTTAAACATCACTGGCATCAACTTAGAAAATCCTGAAATCAACTTGAGACGTTTCTGTGCTGGCATCTCCTCTACCTGAACTACCGGTTGTGGTACCAGTTGCGGAAAAGTAGCAATTGTAGCCCTCAAGGCACTCTGCAACAAACGGTTCAATGCTAGTTTTGCCAACCCTTTACCCTCTTAAACGGGTGCTTCAACATTATCCTTCCTAGTAGAGACACCTCTAAGGGGAACCAAGTCCCTAAGAAGTGTGTCCTCTTCAACCCGTTCTGCGGGATTGGAGCTAGAGCTCTCGCCAATATCTCCTGTTGTTGGCATATTGCCAACTTTCCTTGGTTCCTTACGCGGTGGCACCATACTATAAAATAAGAAAACGGTTCAATCTCATGACACTAAGGTCCACCGTGGACGACTCAACACGAAATAACGCCATACTAACACTTAGTATGCGAAGCTATGCAATAAACACCTTAACATAAACATGTAAGCACGTAAGTAAATAAACAGTTAAACATGCTTCTTCAAATATCAAAACATGTAGCAAATAATCATATGAACAATATGAACAACTTCCCATGCAACTCCAAGTAAGCCTCTACCCTTCCTCCTAATGGTTTTCGAACCATCTTTCTGATACCAATTTGTAACGACCTGAACCCGTTGGTCCGAATCGTCAATTAGGTCCTTAATCGAACCTGGGGTTAACCATGGACAACATCATAATTTCCTACGTCAATATGTGACATATGAGTCAGTTTAAGGTCTAAAATAATCCCAAGGACATAGTGATATAGAGGGAGCAATTGTACAGGTCCAAAAGGGAAGGGTTAGCTGGCTGATGGCCTTGGGTCTGCCGGCTGACAGGGCAGGTTCGGTCGGCTGACCTACATTGTCGGCTGGCTGAAATGGTTTTGAAGTATGCATGCTCTCGGGGCTTTCCAAAATAGCCTGTTGATCGGCTGGTGAAGGGGGTTCGGTCGGCTAAACTTGGGGTTTTGGTCGGCTGATGGTGAGGATCAGCTGGCCGAAATAAGACTTCCTGAGATTCAACTCTTTGGAATGCTTCCTGACTGTGCTCATTACATGCCAAACCTATACTAAACCTGTTATGCAGTCAAATTTCTGAATTCACAGCAAAAGTATGCAACATTATATGATTATAAACATAAATGGCTTGCCACAAAATACCTCATCATACCCCATTCATTACAACATGCTTACATAGTTCCAAATATAGAATAAGTGTTGTCATGAAATTATAGTTACATTGCAAATATGAATACATTCATGAGTTACAGCTTTACAAAAGAATGAGCTAAGATACAAAAGATGACAAAATATAAACTTTTATTCTCCTTTAAACTTGTGGTGGATTGTCATCCGTCACTTCTTTCCCGAGCTTTGAAAAATGTTAAATGTAATGGGATAAACAAATTGCTCACTAGGTGGTGCCTAAGACACACCTCTTGTAACCCTGTGAACCCAAACAACGAATAGAAGTATAGAAAATGGGTCATGCGATGCTGGGAATTACAACATCAATTTCAAGTCCAAAATGAATGATATGATGTTATGGAATACTATGCCATGTCGCTCCCCATTTTTAAAATCATCCATCACTTTTCAATCTGTTAATATAACTCGTTTGTTGGTGACTCCCCAGCGACATGAGAGAAGGATTGGCTATTGTCCCTAACCCTTGGTACCCCCGCGGCATCATTTGGGGCCCAACTAGCTCAACCACACTAGGGTGATTTCTCTAGTTCTCTCTAGGTTATGTTAACACCGGTGACTCCGCGGTGACCGAGTTTTCTCATACCATTTTATCAAAATTCTTCCCGAAAATCCCCTTTTCTTTTATTTCAAATCATTTCCCTTCATTCATACCCAATGAAATGCATATGTGTCTCATACTTTCAATGCTATGACAATAAGGGATTTTCATACAACACAATTAAGCATGCTTTACAAGAAATTCTAAGAAAATTACACATGCTTCTATACATCATTTCTAGCAAGTTAACAACACAATAAGCATAGGAAATCAACACTTAGGCATGTTTTTCATACAAATCAACTAATACATATAATCATGAACTTTGTACACCATAATTAAATCATTTTAGGGGAAATTAACACCAATTAAACATGTTAGCAACAATTAACAAGAAATTGACTCACAAAGGCACAAGAAAACATGAATTAGAGACCCCTACCTCAAGAATATGCAAAAAACCCCAATTTGTGCCCTAGATCCTGAATTTCCTAGATTCTACCAAACAAGGAATTGCTCCGATCAAATCGTAGATCTCGCCGTGATCTTCAATTTGCCGTAAACGGTTAAAAAATCTCTCAAGGATGAGGGATAAATCAAGGTTTAAAGCCTTGAAGTAAAAAGAAAAAAAAGAAAAAAAAAAAAAAAAAAAAAGGAAATTGAGAGGGTGAGAGAGAGACCAGCGGGGAGAGAGAAAGTGAAGAAGGAAATGAGGCCAAAAATGCCTCTTTGACCACTTTTAACAAAATGTGGGTCCCACATCTTTTTAAATAAAAATTTTCTTTTCTTTATTAATTTAAATCACAAATACACACATATATACATATATCAATCCACAACCACATAAAACACATTAATTAAAATGCATGAGATTCAAATGGACCCAACCAAAATCGCCGTATACAATAATTCCGGTAGCGAGTCCCACACAGGACCGTTCGGCCCGAAAATGAAAAAAATGCAAAAATGACAAACCTTGCATTTCAAAGAGTCCCAAACTCAATGAAATGCCCCAACTATCTCTCGGGCACAACTGGCATAGTCCACAATGTCCGGTACATAAAACGGCAAAAGACGAAAATGCCCTTACTTCCGGAAAAATGAAAAATGGCGAACAATGGAAACATTACAATATGATATACATCTGTTGCACAATTTGTTGATTTTGGATTCTTGGGGCATTGTTTGTTTTGACATGGCTAGAGTAAGGCTGTAGTTCGGGAGATATGAGTTCTCTCTACTTTAGCGTGCGCACTTAGGGTAAGGTACCCACGGGCTAGTAACCCAAAAGTGACCTTTGTATACGGTTCTATTCCGATTAATGTCCAAGTATATCCACTTTGTTTGATTTTGCAATTTCATTCCCAATTTGATAATATTGAGTATTTATAACTTTATGTGCTGTATTGGATGTTCCAATTGTGTTAAATTGTATAATTTAGTTATTTACACATTTTAGATTTCAAGTCGATAACTATGAGAATCTATATCTTGACAAGTTGTATTGGATGTTCCAATTATGCTAAATTGTATAATTTAGTTGTTTACGCATTTTAGATCTTAAGTTGATAACTTTGAGAATCTATATCTTGTTGCGTTGTATCGTATACTCCTATATTGTTTAAGTTGCATGAATATTGTGGTTTATGCTAGAAATGCTTTAAGGTAGCTTAGGATGCTCCTTTGGTATTACCTTGGACATAGACGTTAGGTGGCATAAATCACATGAATTGTTTCACATTAACGTGATTAACTTGTAAAACGTTAGGTCTATGCATGCTCATCTCTTACGAGTAGCTTTATGTTACTCACCCACGTAGTGGGGACATTTTTCAGGTACAGGAACCATGATTCAAGATTCACATTACGCCTTGGATGTTCGGTAGACTTGAAGTATTTGATTCATGCAAATGTTAGCATGAAATGCTATTTTTAGTTTAAAATGTCAAAACTTGTATATTTGGTTCTAAATATGTAATGTGTACATAAGTACACCTTTTGAGCTGTATTTGACTTGTATGTAATGTGGCCATGGGCCAAGAACTTTTATTTTGGGTTCTAAGTACTTTTACTTTCAAGCTATATTGTTGAAAAATACAAAATTGGTAAGCTTTAGCATCACTACATTTGCATGGGTGGTGGGAAGTGGGCTTTAACACTTCCATAGGGTCTCTTCATTTGTGCATGAAGTATGGCCAAGGGCCAAATAGTATTTTGAAACTATTTTATAATTTTAAGTTTCAAAATTTCTTTTAAAAGTTCATTTTAGGCATTTTTTAGCATTGATAGGTTA